AGACTAGACTATAGACTAGACTATAGACTAGACTATAGACTAGACTATAGACTAGACTATAGACTAGACTATAGACTAGACTATAGACTAGACTATAGACTAGACTATAGACTAGACTATAGACTAGACTATAGACTAGACTATAGACTAGACTAGACTATAGACTAGACTATAGACTAGACTATAGACTAGACTATAGACTAGACTATAGACTAGACTATAGACTAGACTATAGACTAGACTATAGACTAGACTATAGACTAGACTATAGACTAGACTATAGACTAGACTATAGACTAGACTATAGACTAGACTATAGACTAGACTATAGACTAGACTATAGACTAGACTATAGACTAGACTATAGACTAGACTATAGACTAGAGACTAGACTATAGACTACTATAGACTAGACTATAGACTAGACTATAGACTAGACTATAGACTAGACTATAGACTAGACTATAGACTAGACTATTGACTAGACTATAGACTAGACTATAGACTAGACTATAGACTAGATTATAGACTAGACTATAGACTAGACTATAGACTAGACTATAGACTAGACTATAGACTAGACTATAGACTAGACTATAGACTAGACTATAGACTAGACTACAGACTAGACTATAGACTAGACTATAGACTAGACTGTAGACTAGACTATAGACTAGACTATAGGCTAGACTATAGACTAGACTATAGACTAGACTATAGACTAGACTATAGACTAGACTATAGACTAGACTATAGACTAGACTATAGACTAGACTATAGACTAGACTATAGACTAGACTATAGACTAGACTATAGACTAGACTATAGACTAGACTATAGACTAGACTATAGACTAGACTAAAGACTAGACTATAGACTAGACTATAGACTAGACTATAGACTAGACTATAGACTAGACTATAGACTAGACTATAGACTAGACTATAGACTAGACTATAGACTAGACTATAGACTAGACTATAGACTAGACTATAGACTAAACTATAGACTAGACTATAGACTAGACTATAGACTAGGCTATAGACTAGACTATAGACTAGACTATAGACTAGACTATAGACTAGACTAGACTATAGACTAGACTATAGACTAGACTATAGACTAGACTATAGACTAGACTATAGACTAGACTATAGACTAGACTATAGACTAGACTATAGACTAGACTATAGACTAGACTATAGACTAGACTATAGACTAGACTATAGACTAGACTATAGACTAGACTATAGACTAGACTATAGACTAGACTATAGACTAGACTATAGACTAGACTATAGACTAGACTATAGACTAGACTATAGACTAGACTATAGACTAGACTATAGACTAGACTATAGACTAGACTATAGACTAGACTATAGACTATAGACTAGACTATAGACTAGACTATAGACTAGACTATAGACTAGACTATAGACTAGATATAGACTAGACTATAGACTAGACTATAGACTAGACTACAGACTAGACTATATACTAGACTATAGACTAGACTATAGACTAGACTATAGACTAGACTATAGACTAGACTATAGACTAGACTATAGACTAGACTATAGACTAGACTATAGACTAGACTATAGACTAGACTATAGACTAGACTATAGACTAGACTATAGACTAGACTATAGACTAGACTATAGACTAGACTATAGACTAGACTATAGACTAGACTATAGACTAGATTATAGACTAGACTATAGACTAGACTATTATAGACTAGACTATTATAGACTGGACTATAGACTAGCCTATAGACTAGACTATAGACTAGACTATAGACTAGACTATAGACTAGACTATAGACTAGACTATTATAGACTAGACTATTATAGACTAGACTATTATAGACTAGACTATTATAGAATAGACTATTATAGACTAGACTATAGACTAGACTATAGACTAGACTATAGACTAGACTATAGACTAGACTATAGACTAGACTATAGACTAGACTATAGACTAGACTACAGACTAGACTATATACTAGACTATAGACTAGACTATAGACTAGACTATAGACTAGACTATAGACTAGACTATAGACTAGACTATAGACTAGACTATAGACTAGACTATTATAGACTAGACTATTATAGACTGGACTATAGACTAGCCTATAGACTAGACTATAGACTAGACTATAGACTAGACTATAGACTAGACTATAGACTAGACTATAGACTAGACTAGACTATAGACTAGACTATAGACTAGACTATAGACTAGACTATAGACTAGACTATAGACTAGACTATAGACTAGACTATAGACTAGACTACTAGACTATAGACTAGACTAGACTAGACTATAGACTAGACTACAGACTAGACTATAGACTAGACTATAGACTAGACTATTATAGACTATACTATAGACTAGACTATAGACTAGACTATAGACTATACTATAGACTAGACTATAGACTAGACTATAGACTAGACTATTATAGACTATACTATAGACTAGACTATAGACTATACTAGACTATAGACTAGACTATAGACTAGACTATAGACTAGACTATAGACTAGACTATAGACTAGACTATAGACTAGACTATAGACTAGACTATAGACTAGACTATAGACTAGACTATAGACTAGACTATAGACTAGACTATAGACTAGACTATAGACTAGACTATAGACTAGACTATAGACTAGACTATAGACTAGACTATAGACTAGACTATAGACTAGACTTAGACTAGACTATAGACTAGACTATAGACTAGACTATAGACTAGACTATAGACTAGACTATAGACTAGACTATAGACTAGACTATAGACTAGACTATAGACTAGACTATAGACTAGACTATAGACTAGACTATAGACTAGACTATAGACTAGACTATAGACTAGACTATAGACTAGACTATAGACTAGACTATAGACTAGACTATAGACTAGACTATAGACTAGACTATAGACTAGACTATAGACTAGACTATAGACTAGACTATAGACTAGACTATAGACTAGACTATAGACTAGACTATAGACTAGACTATAGACTAGACTATAGACTAGACTATAGACTAGACTATAGACTAGACCATAGACTAGACTATAGACTAGACTATAGACTAGACTATAGACTAGACTATAGACTAGACTATAGACTAGACTATAGACTAGACTATAGACTAGACTATAGACTAGACTATAGACTAGACTATAGACTAGACTATAGACTAGACTATAGACTAGACTATAGACTAGACTATAGACTAGACTATAGACTAGACTATAGACTAGACTATAGACTAGACTATAGACTAGACTATAGACTAGACTATAGACTAGACTATAGACTAGACTATAGACTAGACTATAGACTAGACTATAGACTAGACTATAGACTAGACTATAGACTAGACTATAGACTAGACTATAGACTAGACTATAGACTAGACTATAGACTAGACTATAGACTAGACTATAGACTAGACTATAGACTAGACTATAGACTAGACTATAGACTAGACTATAGACTAGACTATAGACTAGACTATAGACTAGACTATAGACTAGACTATAGACTAGACTATAGACTAGACTATAGACTAGACTATAGACTAGACTATAGACTAGACTATAGACTAGACTATAGACTAGACTATATAGACTATAGATAGACTAGACTATAGACTAGACTATAGACTAGACTATAGACTAGACTATAGACTAGACATAGACTAGACTATAGACTAGACTATAGACTAGACTATAGACTAGACTATAGACTAGACTATAGACTAGACTATAGACTAGACTATAGACTAGACTATAGACTAGACTATAGACTAGACTATAGACTAGAGACTATAGACTATAGACTATAGACTAGACTATAGACTAGACTATAGACTAGACTATAGACTAGACTATAGACTAGACTATAGACTAGACTATAGACTAGACTATAGACTAGACTATAGACTACTATAGACTAGACTATAGACTAGACTATAGACTAGACTATAGACTAGACTATAGACTAGACTATAGACTAGACTATAGACTAGACTATAGACTAGACTATAGACTAGACTATAGACTAGACTATAGACTAGACTATAGTCTAGACTATAGACTAGACTATAGACTAGACTATAGACTAGACTTGACTATAGACTAGACTATAGGCTAGACTATAGACTAGACTCTAGACTAGACTATAGACTAGACTATAGACTAGACTATAGACTAGACTATAGACTAGACTATAGACTAGACTCTAGACTAGACTATAGACTAGACTATAGACTAGACTATAGACTAGACTATATCTAGACTATAGACTAGACTAGACTATAGACTAGACTAGACTATAGACTAGACTAGACTATAGACTAGACTATAGACTAGACTATAGACTAGACTATAGACTAGACTATAGACTAGACTATAGACTAGACTATAGACTAGACTATAGACTAGACTATAGACTAGACTATAGACTAGACTATAGACTAGACTCTAGACTAGACTATAGACTAGACTATAGACTAGACTATAGACTAGACTCTAGACTAGACTATAGACTAGACTATAGACTAGACTATAGACTAGACTACAGACTAGACCATAGACTAGACCATAAACTATACTAGACCATGGACTAAATTATAGACTAGACCATATACTAGACTATACTATAGATTAGACTATAGACTATACTATAAACTAGACTATAGACTAGACTAGGCGATAGACTAGAAAATATACTAGACTACAGAGTTTCATATAGAAAAATTTTCTATATGAAAATTTGCAAAAATTAAAAAATTTGTCATATAAAAATTAACAGTAAACATTTAAATATTAACTGTGTCCAGCGCCCTCTGACGTTGAGTAGTATTTTTACTTAACAAAAAAGTTACCAGCTTGTTATATTTCTACAAAATAAATCCCCTCATACAAACAGCTGTTTCTTGAACAGCATGGCAACACCCTGAACTGCAAAAAGAAAATAAACACGTACACACATAGAAATACAATCGAAAAGCATAGAAAAAATAACAAAATTTTTATTATTATTTGTTAAACCTAAATTAAAACAACATTAGAAAGCGGTAGCATTGTTTAACACAAACATTTCGCATGTGAAAAATAAAATAAACTTTAACAGAACTCTAAAGGAACAACAATTAAAATAAAGTTGAAAAAAAGTAAAAGTGACGTGTAGTTTTTTGTGGTGTTTGTGTGAAATTAATAATAAAAAAACAACAATTTGTTTGATTTACCTAAAACTCAGGGGGTGTATTCATTCATAAAATAACCCGTAAAAGAAAAGTGTATCAAGGATAAACGAAATTAAAACAAACTGTTGAAATTATAACCAAACTACTTTCACAAAAGTCATAAAAATTAATGTTTACAAGATCGGCTCATAAATATGGCTTTTATACAACAAATACGCGATAGGTGCACATTTCTTGTGTGCCTCCTGCTGGTGGTCTGTTTGTTTAGCAGCCAATTCTCCTGGGGCTATTTTACTTCATACGATAAATTGGATAGCAATAAAAATTGTTTTTGTGAGGTGAGTTTCAGTTAGAAAAAGAAAGGAATTTCTTATTTATGGTATTGCTTGTTTCCCTCCCCACCGTCAACAGCTGGAAGGTTCCATTAATGATTGCAGCTGTGAAGTCGACACTGTCGATCATTTTAATAACATTAAAATCTTTCCCCGCTTGAGTAGTTTATTGGTAAAGAACTATTTTCGTTTCTATCGCGTTAATTTACATCGGGATTGCCCATTTTGGCCCGATGACAGCAAGTGTGCCATGCGCTTCTGTCAGGTGCAGAATTGTGAGGAGAAAAGTATACCCAAGGGTTTGATCGAAAATGGTGAAAATCATTTTATGAAACCTACATTATTTAAGGTAAGTGGAACTGAACTGTTGCTTTTTTTGTTTTTTATTTTAGTTGTTTTATAATTTTGTTGTTGTACTGATAAATTTCATCATTATCTTTGATCTCATACATCATCATTAAATGAAGTCAATTATTTTTGAAATATTGGGTAAATTACTTTTTCTTGTGGGCGTATTTTTTTGCTAAGTACAACTTTTTTAGAAATTCTTTATGATTAACCCTTTAGGGAGCAAAGTATTTCCTTTTATTTTATAGGTATGAAATCTTTCATTTCTTATCTATTAAAACTGACACTGTGCAGCAATCGATTTGGTTATTTATTTAATCTCTGTCATATATTAGTGTTCGTAATAGTTAGAACTTTATTTTTTACTTTATTTGAATTATAAAAACTTAGTGAATTTATACGCCATAAATTTTTTTACTTAATTATTTTGTTATTTTCTTTATATCTTAAAAACCAACTCCGTAACGAAAAACAAACTTTAGACAGGTGTAAAAATTAGCATTTCGAGAATTTACATAACAAAGTTTTTAATGCGGCTGCAAGTAATTACTTTTATTCGCGTAGTTAAAAGTTAATTTTAAAGTTAAATATGCAAATGGCTTTTTAAGCAATTTTCCTATTAGTATCGAAATTTCTTTTCTAAACTTTGTTAGTGCCGTCAATCTGAAATGATCCAGCTATATTAATCCATCTGTCTGTTTAAGGGTTTGCTTTAAATGTATGACAAATAATACATATATTCATGTTTACAAATATATTTAAAGAACTTATGAGTCTATTGTCATATTTTTGATACAATCAATTCCCACCAATATGTTTTATCATAAGAATATCATTGTAATCTATAATATAAATTACAGTCTATAATATAGTCTTGTCTGTAGTCTAGTCTATAGTTTAGCCTATAGCCAAGAATGTAGTCTAGTTTAGTCTATAGTCTAGTCTACAGTTTAGTCTGTAGTCTAGTCTATAGTCTAGTCCATAGTCTAGTCTATAGTACAGTCTATAGTCTAGTCCATAGTCTAGTCTATAGTCTAGTCTATAGTCTAGTCTATAGTCTAGTCTATAGTCTAGTCTATAGTCTAGTCTATAGTCTAGTCTATAGTCTAGTCTATAGTCTAGTCTATAGTCTAGTCTATAGTCTAGTCTATAGTATAGTCTATAGTCTAGTCTATAGTCTAGTCTATAGTCTAGTCTATAGTCTAGTCTATAGTCTAGTCTATAGTCTAGTCTATAGTCTAGTCTATAGTCTAGTCTATAGTCTAGTCTATAGTCTAGTCTATAGTCTAGTCTATAGTCTAGTCTATAGTCTAGTCTATAGTCTAGTCTATAGTCTAGTCTATAGTCTAGTCTATAGTCTAGTCTATAGTCTAGTCTATAGTCTAGTCTATAGTCTAGTCTATAGTCTAGTCTATAGTCTAGTCTATAGTCTAGTCTATAGTCTAGTCTATAGTCTAGTCTATAGTCTAGTCTAGTCTATAGTCTAGTCTATAGTCTAGTCTATAGTCTAGTCTATAGTCTAGTCTATAGTCTAGTCTATAGTCTAGTCTATAGTCTAGTCTATAGTCTAGTCTATAGTCTAGTCTATAGTCTAGTCTATAGTCTAGTCTATAGTCTAGTCTAGTCTATAGTCTAGTATATAGTCTATAGTCTATAGTCTATAGTCTATAGTCTAGTCTAGTCTAGTCTATAGTCTATAGTCTATAGTATATAGTCTATAGTCATAGTCTATAGTCTAGTCTAGTCTAGTCTATAGTCTATAGTCTATAGTCTATAGTATATAGTCTATAGTCTATAGTCTATAGTCTAGTCTAGTCTAGTCTATAGTCTAGTCTATAGTCTAGTCTATAGTCTAGTCTATAGTCTAGTCTATAGTCTAGTCTATAGTCTAGTCTATAGTCTAGTCTATAGTCTAGTCTATAGTAGTCTATAGTCTAGTCTATAGTCTAGTCTATAGTCTAGTGTCTATAGTCTAGTCTATAGTCTAGTCAATAGTCTAGTGTCTATAGTCTAGTCAATAGTCTAGTCTATAGTCTAGTCAATAGTCTAGTCTATAGTCTAGTCTATAGTCTAGTCTATAGTCTAGTCTATAGTCTAGTCTATAGTCTAGTCTATAGTCTAGTCTATAGTCTAGTCTATAGTCTAGTCTATAGTCTAGTCTATAGTCTAGTCTATAGTCTAGTCTATAGTCTAGTCTATAGTCTAGTCTATAGTCTAGTCTATAGTCTAGTCTAGTCTAGTCTATAGTCTAGTCTATAGTCTAGTCTATAGTCTTCTAGTCTATAGTCTAGTCTATAGTCTAGTCTATAGTCTAGTCTATAGTCTAGTCTATAGTCTAGTCTATAGTCTAGTCTACAGTCTAGTCTATAGTCTAGTCTATAGTCTAGTCTATAGTCTAGTCTATAGTCTAGTCTATAGTCTAGTCTATAGTCTAGTCTATAGTCTAGTCTAGTCTATAGTCTAGTCCATAGTCTAGTCCATAGTCTAGTCCATAGTCTAGTCTATAGTCTAGTCTATAGTCTAGTCTGAAGTCTAGTCTATAGTATAGTCTATAGTCTAGTCTATAGTCTAGTCTATAGTCTAGTCTATAATCTAGTCTATAGTCTAGTCTATAGTCTAGTCTATAGTCTAGTCTATAGTCTAGTCTATAGTCTAGTCTATAGTCTAGTCTATAGTCTAGTTTTTAGTCTGGTCTATAGTCCAGTTTATAGTCTAGTCTATAATCCTGCCTACATATGGTCTGGCTTCGTCAAATTGTTTTTTATATTATTCGTTTCGTTTTGTTTTAAAGTCTGTAATGGCATTGTTGGTTTTTAAAGAGTTATTTATGTTTCTTTTAAGTTTTCATTAATGGGTTATTTTTATAAATTTTTGATAATAATTTTAATTGATAAATTGTTATCATTTTAAAGATTTTTTTCAATATACGACTGCTGCGTAACTTATTTTCAAGTAGTTATTGCTAAAGATAAACAATACTTCTAATGTCTATAGTTTTTAAATTTATATACATAAATATTTGTTTAGATTATTTATTACATTGCACTATGGTTCAAATTAATAGGATTTCTCTTATACTTCTATTCAAAAATAAAAATCTAAAACGTTTTTTCAATATTAAAAAATTTCTAAAAAATTACAACTTTTTTTTGAAATTTATTAATTATTGAAATTGTTCCATAATATTTTTTTATTGAAATTAATTAAATGTTTCGTCATATAAATATATATACATAAACCACTTGTATTGCTTAACTTTCATCAGTTATTTTTAAGTTTAACAAGTTCTTTTAATTTTAATTTCAAATGCATGTTTACGTTTTTATTTTAAGCATGAAAACAAATGTTTAAATATTTGTTTAAAGTTCTCTTTTTTTTTAAATTGTTCAATGTAAATAAAACAACACAAAAAATAATAATAAAATTATTGGTTTAAGTGCAAAAACTAAAGTGTTAATAAAATTTATTATAAAACTGAATCAGAATGGTGATGGCATTGAAAAAAAAAACTCATTTTCATTTTATCAAAACAAAATTTCAAAACTCATCTAACAAAAAATATCACAAATCTAACAAACAAACAAAACAATAATAACAAAACAAACAACAACTTTTTTAGTACACCAAAGAAGCTCAAGTAGCCGATTGTTCCGATGCTGATGATTTCAACAGTCTACTTGGTTTTCTCGATACCAGTATTAGTGATCAAGCCCACAAGGAATTCGAACTGTGGGCAAAACACGATGAAGCCGAGGAGGATTTCTGTATAGTCGATGACAATCATGAGGGATCACAATATGTAGATTTACTTATCAATCCAGAACGTTATACAGGCTATAAAGGAGATTCAGCACATCGTGTATGGAATAGTATTTATTTGGAGAATTGTTTTGGCACTCAAAACAAATCCAATTCGTTTACGGAATATTTGGCTCAAATCGATTTGCACAAAATGTGTTTGGAACAACGTGCCTTTTATCGTATCATATCAGGCCTACACTCCAGTATCAATATACATTTGTGTTCCAAATATTTGCTATCGGAATCTAAAGATTTCTTAGATCCTCAGGGCATATGGGGGCCAAATGTTAAGGAATTCCAAAGAAGATTTAGTCCTGAGACTACAAATGGTGAGGGTCCTCATTGGCTAAGGAATTTGTATTTCATTTATTTGGTAGAGTTAAGAGCTTTGGCTAAAGCTGCACCCTATCTAAGAAGAGAAGAATATTACACCGGTATAGTGGAGGAGGATCAGGAGACTAAAATGGCCATTAATGATTTGTTGTCTGTAATTGAGTGAGTTTTTTTTTTATATTGAGATAATAAATAACTAAATCTTTAAAATAACTAAATGTTTCTCCAGATCTTTTCCCAATCATTTTGATGAGAATGCTTTATTCTCGGGCAGCATACAGGGCATTAAATTCAAACATGAATTTAAAGAAAAATTTAGAAATATTTCCAGAATTATGGATTGTGTTGGTTGTGATAAATGTAAATTATGGGGTAAATTACAGGTGAGTTTTTTTTAGTTATTTTAAAATAATAACATTTTTGTTTATATGATAATATTTTTTTTGTTTGTTATTCATTTAGACCCAAGGTTTGGGTACTGCTTTGAAGATTTTATACTCCGAGAAGCTTAATCAGGCCACGGAAAGTGGCTTATGGAATAAACCTCATATCGAGGCGGATCCTTTATTTAGATTATCACGTACTGAAATTGTGGCATTGTTTAATGCATTTGGAAGGTTAGTAGAAAATGTTGAAAGCTTTTCTATAAACATTAGTCAATATTGAAAGATTTTCTATTAAAATTTTCTAAAAAAAATTTTTCAATATTGAAAAAATTTTTTTTGAAAGTCTATAATCTATATTGACAATTTTTTTTTGAAAGTCTATAGTCTAGTCTATAGTCTAGTCTATAGTCTAGTCTATAGTCTAGTCTATAGTCTAGTCTATAGTCTAGTCTATAGTCTAGTCTATAGTCTAGTCTATAGTCTAGTCTATAGTCTAGTCTATAGTCTAGTCTATAGTCTAGTCTATAGTCTAGTCTATAGTCTAGTCTATAGTCTAGTCTATAGTCTAGTCTATAGTCTAGTCTATAGTCTAGTCTATAGTCTAGTCTATAGTCTAGTCTATAGTCTAGTCTATAGTCTAGTCTATAGTCTAGTCTATAGTCTAGTCTATAGTCTAGTCTATAGTCTAGTCTATAGTCTAGTCTATAGTCTAGTCTATAGTCTAGTCTATAGTCTAGTCTATAGTCTAGTCTATAGTCTAGTCTATAGTCTAGTCTATAGTCTAGTCTATAGTCTAGTCTATAGTCTAGTCTATAGTCTAGTCTATAGTCTAGTCTATAGTCTAGTCTATAGTCTAGTCTATAGTCTAGTCTATAGTCTAGTCTATAGTCTAGTCTATAGTCTAGTCTATAGTCTAGTCTATAGTCTAGTCTATAGTCTAGTCTATAGTCTAGTCTATAGTCTAGTCTATAGTCTAGTCTATAGTCTAGTCTATAGTCTAGTCTAGTCTAGTCTATAGTCTAGTCTATAGTCTAGTCTATAGTCTAGTCTATAGTCTAGTCTATAGTCTAGTCTATAGTCTAGTCTATAGTCTAGTCTATAGTCTAGTCTATAGTCTAGTCTATAGTCTAGTCTATAGTCTAGTCTATAGTCTAGTCTATAGTCTAGTCTATAGTCTAGTCTATAGTCTAGTCTATAGTCTAGTCTATAGTCTAGTCTAGTTCTATAGTCTAGTCTATAGTCTAGTCTATAGTCTAGTCTATAGTCTAGTCTATAGTCTAGTCTATAGTCTAGTCTATAGTCTAGTCTATAGTCTAGTCTATAGTCTAGTCTATAGTCTAGTCTATAGTCTAGTCTATAGTCTAGTCTATAGTCTAGTATAGTCTAGTCTATAGTCTAGTCTATAGTCTAGTCTATAGTCTAGTCTATAGTCTAGTCTATAGTCTAGTCTATAGTCTAGTCTATAGTCTAGTCTATAGTCTAGTCTATAGTCTAGTCTATAGTCTAGTCTATAGTCTAGTCTATTAGTCTAGTCTATAGTCTAGTCTATAGTCTAGTCTATAGTCTAGTCTAGTCTAGTCTTAGTCTAGTCTATAGTCTAGTCTATAGTCTAGTCTATGTCTAGTCTATAGTCTAGTCTATAGTCTAGTCTATAGTCTAGTCTATAGTCTAGTCTATAGTCTAGTCTAGTCTAGTCTAGTCTATAGTCTAGTCTATAGTCTAGTCTATAGTCTAGTCTATAGTCTAGTCTATAGTCTAGTCTATAGTCTAGTCTATAGTCTAGTTATAGTCTAGTCTATAGTCTAGTCTATAGTCTAGTCTATAGTCTAGTCTATAGTCTAGTTAGTCTATAGTCTAGTTTATAGTCTAGTTTATAGTCTATAGTCTAGTCTATAGCCTAGTCTATAGTCTAGTCTATAGTCTAGTCTATAGTCTAGTATATAGTCTAGTCTATAGTCTAGTCTATAGTCTAGTCTATAGTCTAGTCTATAGTCTAGTCTATAGTCTAGTCTATAGTCTAGTCTATAGTCTAGTCTATATTCTAGTCTATAGTCTAGTCTATAGTCTAGTCTATAGTCTAGTCTATGGTCTAGTCTATAGTCTAGTCTATAGTCTAGTCTATAGTCTAGTCTAAAGTCTAGTCTAAAGTCTAGGCTAAAGTCTAGTCTGAAGTTTAGTTTATAGTCTAGTCTATAGTATTGTCTAAAGTGTATTCTAAAGTCTAGTATATACTCTAGTCTATAGTCTAGCCAGTAGTCTGGTCTATAGTCTAGCCTATCGTCTAGTCTGTAGTCTAGTATGTAGTCTAGTGTATAGTCTAGTCTATAGTCTAGTCTATAGTGTAGTCTGTAGTTTAGTCTATAGTCTAGTCTAAAGTCTAGTCTATGGTCGAGTCTATGGTCTAGTCTATGGTCTAGTCTATAGTCTAGTCTATAGTCTAGTCTACAGTCTAGTCTGAAGTCTAGTTTATAGTGTAGTCTATAGTTTTGTCTATAGTCTTGTCTAAAGTCTAGTCTAAAGTCTAGTATATAGTCTAGTCTATAGTCTAGTCTATAGTCTATAGTCTAGTCTATAGTCTAGTCTATAGTCTAGTCTATAGTCTAGTCTATAGTCTAGTCTATAGTCTAGTCTATAGTCTAGTCTATAGTCTAGTCTATAGTCTAGTCTATAGTCTAGTCTATAGTCTAGTCTATAGTCTAGTCTATAGTCTAGTCTAGTCTATAGTCTAGTCTATAGTCTAGTCTATAGTCTAGTCTATAGTCTAGTCTATAGTCTAGTCTATAGTCTAGTCTATAGTCTAGTCTATAGTCTAGTCTATAGTCTAGTCTATAGTCTAGTCTATAGTCTAGTCTATAGTCTAGTCTATAGTCTAGTCTATAGTCTAGTCTATAGTCTAGTCTATAGTCTAGTCTATAGTCTAGTCTATAGTCTAGTCTATAGTCTAGTCTATAGTCTAGTCTATAGTCTAGTCTATAGTCTAGTCTATAGTCTAGTCTATAGTCTAGTCTATAGTCTAGTCTATAGTCTAGTCTATAGTCTAGTCTATAGTCTAGTCTATAGTCTAGTCTATAGTCTAGTCTATAGTCTAGTCTATAGTCTAGTCTATAGTCTAGTCTATAGTCTAGTCTATAGTCTAGTCTATAGTCTAGTCTATAGTCTAGTCTATAGTCTAGTCTATAGTCTAGTCTATAGTCTAGTCTATAGTCTAGTCTATAGTATAGTCTAGTCTATAGTCTAGTCTATAGTCTAGTCTATAGTCTAGTATATATAGTCTAGCCTATCGTCTGGTCTAGTCTATAGTCTAGTCTATAGTCTAGTCTGTAGTCTAGTCTGTAGTCTAGTCTATAGTCTAGTCTATAGTCTAGTCTATAGTCTAGTCTATATTCTAGTCTATAGTCTAATCTATAGTATATAGTATAGACTACACTATAGACTAGTCTATAGCCTAGTCATTTTTATAGAAAATTTTTCAATATTGACTAATTTTTATAGAAAATTTTACAATATTGATTAATTTTTATAGACAATTTTTCAACATTGACAAATTTTTATAAAAAAGTTTTCAATATTGCCTAATTTTTATAAAAAAGTTTTCAATATTGCCTAATTTTTATAGAAAATTTTTCAATATTGACTAATTTTCATAGAAAACTTTTCGAAATTGAAAAATTTTCTGTAAACCTGTTCTTTTCGTTAATCATATCTGTTTTTAAATAACATCAATTAATCTGTTTATATTTTTCTCTCTTTCCAGACTCTCTAATAGTATATTTGAAATGGAAAATTTTAGAAAATATTTAAGATAATAAAACAAAATAACACCAAGCAGATCAGCCTCCCCTTAGGCCTATGTATACTTAATGTTTGTAGAACATTTATTTAAAATTTCACTAGTACAATTTATCCTTTTACTCCGGTCCATAATTCCAAAACACGTATTAAAATGACATAATTTTGGGTTTAGATTAAATGAAAAGAGAAACATTTTAAAGACAACTGAAAACGTTTACTATTGTAGAGGTATTTAATTAATAATAATTAAAGGTTTCCCTAACAACGCTGGCGTAATTTGTATTTCCTTTTTTTTTTTTTTAGAAAAAAAAAAAAAAAAAAAAAAAAACCAAAAAAATATACAAAAGAAACAAAAACTATAACTGTAAAACTTTGTTAATTGTTTTTTTTTTTTTTTTTAATTATCTACTATTATTAAACTCTTATACACTTTAAGTTTTAGTTACTAAGAATATTTATTTTTTATTTTAAATAAAAAGAAAAAAAACTTTTTAAAGAAAAACAAAAGAGAGCAATTAAAAGTGTGAATGATATTAAATGATACAGGGTGCAATTTAAAAATAAATGGAATATTTTAAAGAAAACTTTTAAAATAAATCTTTTACTCTCTCTCTCTCTCTCTCTCTCTCTCTCTCTCTCCACCTACCTTTTTTAAGTCTCGGGGAAATGAAAACACAGTTTTGTTTTAAAGATTGGTACTTTTTTTTGAGAAATATTTTATACATAACTTAAGTATGTATATAAATAGTAGTAATATTTTGTTTAGTTAGTTTTTTTAAATATAAATTTTAGTATATAATAGTTGTTGTTGTTGTTGTTTATTTTTATGTATAAAGTATAGGAGAAAGTGGTTAATGCGTTTGAATGTTAATGCGTTTAGTATGTTAAAATTTTACAAATATTTATCGAAAATATGTTTTTGTTTTAATGTACGAAAATGTTTAGTTATGAATTTAAAAAAAAGTAGTTGAATAATAATGCCACATTTATTAACGAATACGATGTTTAGTTTTCGCTTTAATGAATATGTTTATCAAATCGTTTTTTTTTATATTTTTGGTTTTTTTTATTTAAATCACATAATTATTTTGTTCCTAAAAAGTTGTATTTCTTTTTTCTCTATTAATTATTTTTTGTTTTTTTCTTATGTTTTGTTTGGTGGTTAACATTGAAGGCAGTTATATTCAGTTGGTTTTACTTTAAATATTTTGTTTTCTATATATTCCCTTTTTGCAAAAATTTCAAGAAAAACTAATAAAATTATATAAAAATTCTTTTTGCTTTTGTCGAAACAATTAACTAAAAAAATTAAGGTACAATTGTGATTTGATTGCACATTCATTTTAAATTACTAGTTTATAAATTTTGTCGTTTTTTTTTTTTTTTGTTTGTTTTTGAATAAAATTACACATGCACATTTAGAAATAAAGTTTTTAGTTTAAAGTTGTTTTTGTTAGTTTGTTTTTAATGTTTAGTAGTTTTTTTCTTGGTTTTGTTAGTTTGTTTAGCTTGTTTTTAAATTACTACTAGAGGTTTTTCCGGCATGTCACATTTTGAGGCTTTTTCATCGTCAAAAGTATTATCGGTGGTACCGGATTCATTGGTTGGACTTAGGGGTAATAAAGACTTTGTACTGCCAATCATGGCATTGGCATCGGCTGGACTTACGTCATGCTCCTAGAAGATAAAAATTGTGAAAATTATTAACTTTTTCTTTCAAATAGAGACATTTTCTATAATAACTTCTCAATTAGTGAATATTTTCTATAAACATTTGTCAGAATTAAACATTTTGTAGAAAAACTTTTCAAAATAAAACGTGTTTTTACAATAATGAAAATTTTCTATAAACGCTATTCAATATTGAAACTTTTCAATAGAAACTTTTTAATATTGAAAGTATTTCTATAAAAATTTTAAAATATTGAAAAATTTTCTATAAAAACTTTCAAATATTGAAAATTTTTCTACAATAAAGAAAATTTTTTATAAAAGCTTTTCAATATTGACAATTTTCTATAAAGCTTTTCAATATTAAAAAATTTTCTTTACAAACTTTTCGATATTGAACACTTTTCTATAAAAACTTTTTAATATTGAAAATTTTTCAATAAAAATTTTTCAATATTGAAAATTTTTCTATAAAAATTGTTCAATATTGAAAATTTTTCTATAAAAATTCTTTATTATTGAAAAACGTTCTATAAAAATTCTTCAATATTGAAAATTTTTCTATAAAAACTTTTGAATATTGAAAATTTTTCTATAAAAACTTTTGAATATTGAAAATCTTTCTATAAAAACTTTTCAATATTGAAAATTTTTCTATAAATATTCTTCAATATTGAAAGTTTTTCTATAAAAATTCTTCAATATTGAAAATTTCTTTTCGATATTGAACACTTTTCTATAAAAACTTTTTAATATTGAAAATTTTTTCAATAAAAATTTTTCCATATTGAAACATTTTTTCTTATAATTTTCTATAAAAAGTTTAAAATATTAAAAAATTTTCTACAAAAATAAAAACTTTTCAATATTGAAAATTGTTCTATAAAAACTTTTCAATATTGAAAATTTTTCTATAAAAATTCTTCAATATTGAAAATTTTTCTATAAAAATTTTTCTATAAAAATTCTTCAATATTGAAAATTTTTCTATAAAATTTCTTCAATATTAAAAATTGTCTATATAAAATTTTCAATATTGAACGATTTTCTATAAAAACTTTACAATATTGAAAATTTTTCTATAAAAATTCTTTAATATTGAAAATGTTTCTATAAAAATTCTTCAATATTAAAAAATTTTCTATATAAAATTTTCAATATTGAACGATTTTCTATGAAAACTTTACAATATTGAAAATTGTTCTATAAAAACTTTTCAATATTGAAATTTTCTATAAAAACTTTTCAATATTGAAAATTTTTCTATAAAAATTCTTCAATATTGAACATTTTTCTATAAAAATTCTTCAATATTGAAAATTTTTCTATAAAAATTCTTCAATATTGAAAATTTTTCTATAAAAATTCTTCAATATTGAAAATTTTTCTATAAAAATTCTTCAATATTGAAAATTTTTCTATAAAAACTTTTCAATATTGAACAATTTCTATAATTACTTCTCAATTAATTAAAATATTCAAAATAGAATTTTTTTTTACAATAATGAAAATTTTCTATAAAAGCTATTCAATATTGTAACTTTTCTATAGAAACTTTTTAATACTGAAAGTATTTCTATAAAACCTTAGCAATATTAAAAATTTGTCTATAAAAACTTTAAAATATTGAAAATTTTTTTACAATAATGAAAATTTTTCTATAAAAAACTTTCAATATTGAAAAATTTTCTATAAAAACTTCTTAATATTAAACAATTTTCTATAAAAACTTTTCAATATTGAACAATTTTCAATAAAAACTTTTCAATATTGAACAATTTTCTATAAAAACTTTTCAATATTGAAACATTTTCTATAAAAACTTTTCAATATTGAACAACTTTCTATGAAAACTTTTCAATATTGAAAAATGTTCTATAAAAACCTTCAATATTGACAATTTTTCTATAAAAACTTTTTAATTTAAGAAATTTTTTATATAAACTGAAAATTCTATTAAGAAATATTTTCAATATTTCAATTTTGTACAAAACTTTTCACTCAAACTAGAACTTTTACCCAACGAACTTGAATGCATTTGTTCATGACCTCCCCCTTAATTAGTGAGCAGAGCCTATCTACCATTCTAAGGTCTCAACACGCGTGTGAAAAGCATTTGCAGACCGTGCCCAAGCTCTTTCCGCAATTTAGGTTTAAAGCACAGTCATTACGTTACTCCCAGAAGATTGTCAACATCATCCTGGCTGGAACCGAAGTATTAAAATCTCTTGGATCACGTAGTACAAGTTTGAAGATTTCGGTCAGACTTAGTTGTGTGTAAGTCACCTGATAGGAAAACACTAAAAGGTTTCGGACTGCTCACCAATTACATCACATTAAACACCAAAAATATTCATGACAGACGTTCACAGGAGCCACATAGTATGACATCAACAAGAACAAAACGCACAATTGTTGACATTACCTCCTCACGAAGATCATGAAAACATCATAGAAACAACAAAAAAATTACAAAATTTCAACGTTGCCCAAGCAGAACCTCCAAGAAGCCGGTAACTAGGGTAGATATCAGCAACTCATACAACTGTTTGCAACGACCACTAACGTCCGGCTATGCTTCTGTTAAATACCTGCTTGAAATACCCTACCAAAGTACTATAATACCAGTACCACCTAGAGTCCGCAGTCTCATACAGACCTCTTTTATGAAATAATCCAGTATGTGAGCGATGCTTGAACTTAACGTCACATATGAAGACATACATATGTATATCTAATTCTCCGTCTAGGGACAAGATACTCCCTAAGATATGCCTTACTCTGTGTAGAACTTACACCGTCTAAATCAGAAGCATAATGCCAGTCCAGTTCTAGAAGCGGTAGTATCTTCTTGATTTTAAAAGCAATAGCACGTTAAGACGTGCTACACCTGCCGCGACTCTGACGGATAGAAGTCGTTTCTGCCAATAACAGACATCGTACCGCACAGAGGCTTTATAATCGTACCACACATAGGCTACATAAGCTTCTCATATATTACACGAACATCCACTTACTCCTAAGACTGGGCCTAATATGAGCTTTAAGATAAACTAAAAAGTTTATGCTCTCGTTCATTATGATCCCTAGATACTTGACCTTAATCACATATCTGAAACTAACATTACATGAACTAATGAGTGAAGAGATTTTTGTGATAATCTGAATGTAACTCTTTTGCCCTCTAATTCCCATTGGGTTATCGAAATACCAGAACCGATAACCCACAATCTTTGATCCAGGTGCAAACATTTTCACAGAAAAAGTTCAATTTTCCAAAACTTACCGCCAAATCAGTCATTTGATTTAAATTGTCCATCGTTTCTAAATTCTGTGCCTGACGATTCCTTTTGCTCTTACGCGATGAATAGATTTCATCGGCATCCGATTCTTCACCGCCACAAATACAACGCATTTTGGCATCATCTCCCACCTGTTAAAAGCAACAATCAGTCAATTACAATTTAATGAAGATTTGTGAGCCGTTATAAATCAAGAGTTACCTTAACGTAAGTTGTTATAATTATAAGAGAAATTGATGAGATCACAAACAAAACTATAGGAACTATTAACGAGAACAACAATTCATTATAGACCTTCTTCAAATCATAACGTGAAGTAACAAATTCAACTGAGGGATCCTGAAAGAGAGAGAGAGAGAATGTAATAAATATGTTTTTGGGAGAATATTTGAAGCAATTTTTTTAATGTCCAAACCTTACCTTATTATAATAACATTGATACCTCGATTGGGCTGTATTATTATCGCCATCACTGCCATGACGAGCATGAAAATCTTTACATTCTCCTCTCAAAGTATTGACACAACCCTCCAAATTGATAAATAACTTTTTATTCTTATAAATGGTCAAATTATGTTGATTGGGTAAGAATTTCTGTTCAGGATCTACTTCGATTTTGCTTTCCTCATAAATTTTCCAAAATTGTGTAAAATTCATAAAAGGCTCCGGTAAAATGTTGTGCGGCAATAAAGTGCCATTCAGACAATCCGTGGCCCTAAAAAAACACAAAATTTTTTAACAAAAATTATCTTTGAGAAGGCCTTAAACTCAGCTCACATTATTTTATCCCCTTCCCTTGTTACAGTGGCACAATTCGTTAACAGATTCCCATCATCTTCCTTCCAAAATTCTGTCGGACTTATACGAACCCCCAGTTCATTGCCTCTGGCCTCATTAAAGGCCACAGCATTTTCACAATCTGCTGCTATAACATTATCCTCCTGTTAAAGTATTTAAAAGTTTTTTTTTTTTGTTAAAATTAAAAAAAGTGTCATAGACCTTTGACCTTAAAAGCAACACACTTACATGCATCAGCAGCACATTTATATGTGAAGTGGTTATTTTCGAACAATATCTGTCACAACTAAAAGGTTTTTTGATTTTCGTACAATGTACTCCATGACACTCAAAGAAACCATTCAATTTTGTATTGTCTTTGGCTGAATTAATGGTGGGTCCATCGGCTTTGTGATGACACAAAAAGAACTCTGACATATTTTTACAGTGACCTTGAAGGTGGTAAAATATCTCCAGATTACCTTTCGGTGAAATTTTATTGTATGTGTTTCTTACGTACCATTTGAACAATTGAATACTCCATGAATGTTGTTGCAGGCTGTTCCATTATTACAATTGAATTTATTTAAACGACTCATATCGATCTAGAAGAAAAATATCAAAAGGGGATAATTTTGTATTAGAATTTTATATACCAACCGACAAGTAATACTAATAGCGTCTTATTCAGAATCAAGTATCGATGGTCCTTTCTCAAATATTTTGAATATAGATATGTATGTATGTACCCTATCCAAATTCTATTCTACTTTTGACCACTCTGAGAACCACACTTAGTCCACATCCTTAGATCCTGTTATATAGTTTATCTAAATAGGAAAGATATCTTACACTAATAGTCCTTCTGGTATTAACCTGCAGTACGACAATAAAAACTGTCGCGTGTTACTGAAGATTTACTGCTCAAATACCTAACGATTCTTACGGAAGTTCTAATTGCTTTCTGACACATTCGTAGAAGCTTTGGGATCTATGACAGCAACCGTGACGATCGCTTTTCTTTTAGCACAGCATCTATCTTTAAAAGTTTAGGGCAACCTATCCATCCTAAGATGTGGGTCGAAAATGACTCGTTACTATAATTGCTCGTTTTATAAGTCTCTAGATTATAACGAACTTGAGTTTAACTACCTAATATATCGATCAGCTTAAACATGCTTTTTGGAATAGAATTTGCGATACCAATCAAAGTTCTTTGTGGTCATCATTGTAGATGTTCTACGTCGAATAGTGGAGGTGACCACGATCATCACAATTATGATTATGAGTCAAACAAGTATTGGCTTTCTATGTCTCCAAACAAAAGATAAACTCTTCATATATGTCGGCGTTCATTTTAGAGTCCTTTTGGCAATACGAGAGGCATACAAAGTTCTTCGTAAAAAGAACATTATGAGAGAACTGTCTTATTGATCGTCAAAAGAACAGTTTAGGGAGTTTAAGAAAAAATTGTCTAATACTTAGATTAGAGACGCAAAGACGCGTAGATCGGAGATAATACTACTAATCAAAGTAATTTAATTATCATACAATTTCTTCTGAATGCTTACAAGGTTGTAAACTACCCATACCCCAGTAAGGACTTGAAATGGTTTCTTATTTGTCATACGCACGATTTACACGACAAAGCGTCGATCATTAACATCTACGGTCTATAATCTCTTAAGGCTTTGATCTCGAAAAGCGTCGATCATTAACATCTACGGTCTATAATCTCTTAAGGCTTTGATCTCGAATGTGATATGGTTGAAATGTACTAGTTTAAAAGACACTCTTTAGACACAATTAAAGGATCGTCCTTGGACACAACTGTTACATATGAGCTGTTACCTACTGCCTGCATGAGCTCTCCCTAAATCACGAGACAACCTGTAATTGCAACCAGCGAAACATTTCAAAATATAGAAAAAAATTACCCCAGAATCTTGATGTCGTAATCGATGTGTCCCTTCTACCGACTGAATGCTCTAGCCCTGACTTACACGGAATAGGGCCTCTAATATATATGCGCTTTTAAAAAAATAGGCATAAAGACTGCATGATTGGATGCACGTCAGATCGTATTTGGGTTACCCAAGCAACAGATATTGCAGAAGAAACTGTTGCACAAAAGGATGTCCTGAAATATCGGACAGAAATATCGGAACTTAAATGGTCCAGTAATACCACTCGCAAAATGTCCTAAATGCTTCAGCCCTATTTTACACTGAATAGGGCCTTGAATCTATTGGCTTTTAAGAAAAATCGTTAAGGCCTTTGATAGGCTTTAAGACTGTATAATTGGACGCATGTTAGATCGAATGGGTTATCCAAGGAACTTATATTGCATAAGAAATCATAGTACAAACCTCTCATGAAGATCTAGACTGTCTCAAGAATGCATCACTAACCAATCTACAAAAAGTATAATAAAAAGTAACGGACCAAAGGAATAAAGGGATCACATCAGCGACAGATAATATTGATGTCGTAACCGACTGTGAACCATTTTAAAATGTTTAACCTAAGTTTGGACATCCTGTTTAACTTGTCAGCTCATGTAACTGTAATTACTTCATGTGAGGTTGCTACAAAGAATATCAAGTTAAAGCAATAGGCCCAATGCCTACTAGTCCCCCAAACCATGACATAATATTAGGGCACTTTGTCAAATGGATTTATGAACTAATCTATGCCTGAATATCATTTCAGAACCTTTGAATTAGATTATTTCATAGTAACAAAAACAACTACAACTACTTTAATGGTTAAAAGCGACATACTAGATCAAGTGTCTAAATTTGGAGTTGATGATCCCATGCTGAGATCTTTTACACAGATGCAATGTAAAAGAATTAATATATAAAAACATGTCCACTGTAAATGCACAATTTAAATGGGAATTAATTTTTAAACAAAACTCTTCGTTTCCGCTAGCTATTTTTGTTCAAAGAAAACGCCTCTAAAAAAACTCAAACTATACTACTTACTTACACTATATGTACTACAGCAATATAGAAAAAAGTAATTAAATTTTATGTGGCATTTGTATTATTTTAAGAATTTTATTTTCCTGGCAATAAAACTAATTATATGCCAACATTTTATATATTCCTATTTGCAACAAGTTGTTGCTGTTGGCACCTTTGCTGCTATTGTTTGTGTTGTCAATCTACTCTCATACATTAAGGCAACTTTCTAGTTGCAGGTGTGGTTTGTTGCCAAGTTTTCAAATGTTGAATTTTACGCACACTTGCTACAAACACATACACAATACATCTAAACAAAGTGGCAAGTGTTGTATCATCTATATTTCATACTAAAAATAAATATTCAACAAGATAAACATTGAAATTCCCATTTTACTTGAATTTACACTTCAACAAATAATAAATGTTTAAATGACTAAAAAAAGACAATCTATAGCAGCAGTCATTGTAATAGCAATAACTATAAGTAAGTCTTAGTTAGCTACTAAAACATTTAGCAGCTTGATAACTCGTTTCAATTTCTGCTAACAAGGACATTGATGATCATCATTATCATTTGTCTCAAAATGACTCATAATTTACATAAAGTTTGGTTGGTAGTTAGTTAGTTTACTTGCTATTCTTCTTGGTTTGCTATATTATGTCTAACAGCCAACTGACAGCCAGACAGAACAAAATCATACAATGCAATATACTATAGCTAACTTTAAACAATTTATTTATTGTAATAGATATTTCTATTTTCTACTCGTTGTTTTTTTCTTTTCTATTAAATGTATCTGTGAGTTTGTATGACTTTCGTCTCCATATTAAATGACACAAAAACGGATACAAACAACTAATTTGTAAAATTAAAAGACATCAGCTACAGCAACAACTACAATGGAATAAATAAATAGAAATACAACAACAATGTGAAGCTACAAATACTAAAAACATCGTTTGGGGTGGTCAGATTTTAGATTAATTTAAGTTAAAGGACACCTTTGTTACTTTTTATCAACCCACGTTGATTTAAACAGGATATATTTTTATAACAGGATGTGAAGAAGGTTGATTTCTCGGCAGGAAATGTGTGTAAATTTATTTAAATACATTAGTGTTGGTACTCTACTGTCCCCACTATAATCTACTCTAAAGTCATGGTTACTGTCGACTATATAGTCCAGGCTATAAGTAAGTCACCCTATAATCTACTTTCTACTCCAGGCTACAGTTCACTCTATAATCCCTACTAATATATAGTTCATACTACAGTCTACTCTATAGTCCAGACTACAACAGTTTACTCTACAATCCAGTCTAAAGCCTACCCTAATGTCTGGTCTGTAGTCTACTCTATAGTCCAGATTATATAGACCATACTACTCGATAATATATAATCTACGCTATAGTCCAGACTACAAACTACTATTCACTCCAGACTATAGTCTACTCTATAGTCTGCTCCATAATCCAGACTATGGTCTACTCTATAGTCCAGACTATAGTCTACTCTATAGTCCAGACTATAGTCTACTTTATAGTCCAGACTATAGTCTACTATATAGTCCAGAATACAGTCTACTCTATAGTCCAGAATAGAGTCTACTCTATAGTCCAGAATAGAGTCTACTCTATAGTCCAGACTATAGTCTACTCTATAGTCCAGACTATAGTCTACTCTATAGTCCAGACTATAGTCTACTCTATAGTCCAGACTATAGTGTACTCTATAGTCCAGACTATAGTCTACTCTATAGTCCAGACTATAGTCTACTCTATAGTCCCGACTATAGTCTACTCTATAGTCCCGACTATAGTCTACTCTATAGTCCAGACTATAGTCTACTCTATAGTCCCGACTATAGTCTACTCTATAGTCCCGACTATAGTCTACTCTATAGTCCAGACTATAGTCTACTCTATAGTCCAGACTATAGTGTACTCTATAGTCCAGACTATAGTCTACTCTATAGTCCAGACTATAGTGTACTCTATAGTCCAGACTATAGTCTACTCTATAGTCCAGACTATAGTCTACTCTATAGTCCAGACTATAGTCTACTCTATAGTCCAGACTATAGTCTACTCTATAGTCCAGACTATAGCCTACTCTATAGTCCAGACTATAGTCTACTCTATAGTCCAGACTATAGTCTACTCTATAGTCCAGACTATAGTCTACTCTATAGTCCAGACTATAGTCTACTCTATAGTCCAGACTATAGCCTACTCTATAGTCCAGACTATAGTATACTCTATAGTCCAGACTATAGTCTAATCTATAGTCCAGACTATAGTCTACTCTATAGTCCAGACTATAGTATACTCTATAGTCCAGACTATAGTCTACTCTATAGTCCAGATTATTGTATATTCTATAGTCCAGACTATAGTCTACTCTATAGTCCAGACTATAGTCTACTCTATAGTCCACACTATAGTCTACTCTATAGTCCAGACTATAGTCTACTCTATAGTCCAGACTATAGTCTACTCTATAGTCCAGACTATAGTCTACTCTATAGTCCAGACTATAGTCTACTCTATAGTCCAGACTATAGTCTACTCTATAGTCCAGACTATAGTCTACTTTATAGTCCAGACTATAGTCTACTCTATAGTCCAGACTATAGTCTACTCTATAGTCCAGACTATAGTCTACTCTATAGTCCAGACTATAGTCTACTCTATAGTCCAGACTATAGTCTACTCTATAGTCCACACTATAGTCTACTCTATAGTCCAGACTATAGTCTACTCTATAGTCCAGACTATAGTCTACTCTATAGTCCAGACTATAGTCTACTCTATAGTCCAGACTATAGTCTACTCTATAGTCCAGACTATAGTCTACTCTATAGTCCAGACTATAGTCTACTCTATAGTCCAGACTATAGTCTACTCTATAGTCCAGACTATAGTCTACTCTATAGTCCAGACTATAGTCTACTCTATAGTCCAGACTATAGTCTACTCTATAGTCCAGACTATAGTCTACTTTATAGTCCAGACTATAGTCTACTCTATAGTCCAGACCATAGTCTACTCTATAGTCCAGACTATAGTCTACTCTATAGTCCAGACCATAGTCTACTCTATAGTATAGACTATAGTCTACTCTATAGTCCAGACTATAGTCTACTCTATAGTCCAGACTATAGTCTACTCTATAGTCCAGACTATAGTCTACTCTATAGTCCAGACTATAGTCTACTCTATAGTCCAGACTTCAGTCTACTCTATAGTCCAGACTTCAGTCTACTCTATAGTCCAGACTATAGTCTACTCTATAGTCCAGACTATAGTCTACTCTATAGTCCAGACTATAGTCTACTCTATAGTCCAGACTATAGTCTACTCTATAGTCCAGACTATAGTCTACTCTATAGTCCAGACTATAGACTACTCTATAGTCCAGACTTTAGTCTACTCTATAGTCCAGACTATAGTCTACTCTATAGTTCAGGCTATAGTCTACTCTATAGTCCAGACTTTAGTCTACTCTATAGTCCTGCCTATTGCCTACTCTATAGTTCAGACTATAGTCTTCTCTATAGTCTACTCTATAGTCCAGACTATAGTCTACACTATAGACCAGACTTTAGTCTACTCTATAGTCCTGACTATAGCCTACTCTATAGTCTAGACTATAGTCTACTCTATAGTCCAGACTATAGTCTACTCTATAGTCCAGACTATAGTCTACTCTATAGTCCAGACTATAGTCTACTCTATAGTCCAGACTATAGTCTACTCTATAGTCCAGACTATAGTCTACTCTATAGTCCAGACTATAGTCTACTCTATAGTATAGACTATAGTCTACTCTATAGTCCAGACTATAGTCTACTCTATAGTCCAGACTATAGTCTACTCTATAGTCCAGACTATAGTCTACTCTATAGTCCAGACTATAGTCTACTCTATAGTCCAGACTATAGTCTACTTTATAGTCCAGACTATAGTCTACTCTATAGTCCAGACCATAGTCTACTCTATAGTCCAGACTATAGTCTACTCTATAGTCCAGACCATAGTCTAGTCTATAGTATAGACTGTAGTCTACTCTATAGTCCAGGCTATAGTCTACTCTATAGTCCAGACTATAGTCTACTCTATAGTCCAGACTATAGTCTACTCTATAGTCCAGACTATAGTCTACTCTATAGTCCAGACTATAGTCTACTCTATAGTCCAGACTATAGTCTACTCTATAGTCCAGACTATAGTCTACTCTATAGTCCAGACTATAGTCTACTCCTATAGTCCAGACTATAGTCTACTCTATAGTCCAGACTATAGTCTACTCTATAGTCCAGACTATAGTCTACTCTATAGTCCAGACTATAGTCTACTCTATAGTCCAGACTATAGTCTACTCTATAGTCCAGACTATAGTCTACTCTATAGTCCAGACTATAGTCTACTCTATAGTCCAGACTATAGTCTACTCTATAGTCCAGACTATAGTCTACTCTATAGTCCAGACTATAGTCTACTCTATAGTCCAGACTATAGTGTACTCTATAGTCCAGACTATAGTCTACTCTATAGTCCAGACTATAGTCTACTCTATAGTCCAGACTATAGTCTACTCTATAGTCCAGACCATAGTCTACTCTATAGTATAGACTATAGTCTACTCTATAGTCCAGACTATAGTCTACTCTATAGTCCAGACTATAGTCTACTCTGTAGTCCAGACTTCAGTCTACTCTATAGTCCAGACTATAGTCTACTCTATAGTCCAGACTATAGTCTACTCTATAGTCCAGACTATAGTCTACTCTATAGTCCAGACTATAGTCTACTCTATAGTCCAGACTATAGTCTACTCTATAGTCCAGACTATAGTGTACTCTATAGTCCAGACTATAGACTACTCTATAGTCCAGACTTTAGTCTACTCTATAGTTCAGGCTATAGTCTACTCTATAGTCCAGACTTTAGTCTACTCTATAGTCCTGCCTATTGCCTACTCTATAGTTCAGACTATAGTCTTCTCTATAGTCTACTCTATAGTCCAGACTATAGTCTACTCTATAGACCAGACTTTAGTCTACTCTATAGTCCTGACTATAGCCTACTCTATAGTCCAGACTATAGTCTTCTCTATTGAATCTTAATCTGAACTATGATCCAAACTATATTCCGAAACATGTTTTTTTTTTTTGCTTTTGTTATTTTCGAAATCAAGCAAGAATGGTAACTCTAATTCTCTTTATTCAAAATGCCTGCATTGACAATACCACTCAAATATGCATGTATGAGTAATTCAACATTGCTGGCAGTTGGAGCATAGAATCTGATACAAGGATACAGAGAGGATGTTGACATGACTGAAAGACATGTTTTCTTGGAAATACGAGTACAAACATTTACATTTTTTATTTTTTGTTATTTTGATATAGTATTGTTGATATTTATATTCTGATTCGTTTGCTTATTTGTTTGTAAGTTTGAAACTATTCAACTATTTAGAGAGAGCGTATGTAATGTGAGTTTATGGTTTGATTTGCTTAACCTACTATTCCCATTTCATTTGCAATAGCAAATATATAAATTATATAATGGTTCGACGTAGTTTGTTTGTCTTTATATTATAAATAAAATATAGCTTAATAATGTTTTAAGTTCAATACGTGGAATGGCATCAAAAAAGGTCTAAGTTTGATTATTTAGTTGTACTTAACGTAGGCGTTGGGTTTGTTTTTGGCATTTTTCTTATTTAGAATATGTGTAGGCTAAAGTTTTAGTATAAATATTTTACGTTTTTTACAAATTGATTAGATAGGCAACTGAAGGGCATTAAACTTTAGGGAGATGAATAAAATAAAATTTTCTATAGTGTAGATTATTAAATATTCTAAAGCAGACTATACTCTATGTTCCAAACTATAGTCTACATTAAATTCCAAACTATAGTCTAGTCTATAGTTCTATCTATAACATAAGTATAGTCCAAAATTTTGTCAATAGTATACTCAACACTATAGTACCCTTTTACACTACAGTCTATTGAAGATACAAAACCTTTGAGACTTTAGTTTTAAAATGAAAATATCTGCTGGAAACTTTTGTCTAACACTGTATTAATTCAAGCTAAAAAAAAAAGTAGTAACATGGAAAAAACTTTCCTAAAGAACTACTTACCATTGCACATGAAGTATTTGTAATACGAGTACAATTATTCAACTGGATATCGGTTCCATTACGACGCACGATTGAATAGATTTGAGGACAAAAACCACTGGTACGTGTTAAACACCATTCTCCGCAAGAAGCCCAACTACAATGTGAGTCAGGCATATCCGATTGTATAGTTTGACACATGACCGGATCCAATTCAAAACCGGATTTGAAAGCTCTTTAAACACGAAAGAAGTAAGAATAATTTACAAAATTTTATTGAAACATGGCAGAAAATATAGATGGTTATGACCGACATTATTATACCCTACACCTGCTATAAAAAAGGACAAAAAATAATTGGTCTATTCTCAAAGAATTTACTATGACATAGACCATTCAATAGGCTAGTCCATATACAATTCATATGGTAGTCATTAGGCTAGTTCATTTACTAGTCCATAGACTAGTAAATATTATAATCCATAAACTAGTCAATAGGCTAGTCCATAGACTAGTCAGTAGGATAGTCCACAGACTAATCAATAGGCTAGTCCATAGACAAGTCAATAATCTAGTCCATAGGCTAGTCAATAGGCTAGTCCATAAACTAGTCAATAGGCTGTCCACATGCAATAGGCTAGTCCATAGACTTGTCAATAGGATAGTCCATAGAGTAGTCAGTAGGATAGTCCATAGACTAGTCATTAGGCTAGTCCATAGACTAGTCAATAATCTAGTCCATAGGCTACTCAATAGGTTAGTCCATAGACTAGTCAATAGGTTAGTCCATAGACTAGTCATTAGGCGAGACTAATTAATAGGCTAGTCCATAGACCAGTCAATAGAGTAGTCAATAGGCTAGTCCATAGACTAATCATTAGGCTTGTCCATAGATTAGTCATTATGCTTGTCCATAGACTAATTAATAGGCTAGTCCATAGACTAGTCAATAGGATAGTCCATAGACTAGTCATTAGGCTAGTCCATAAACTAGTCATTTGGCTAGTTCATAGACTAGTCAGTAGGATAGTCAATAGACTAGTTAATAGACTAGTCCATAGACTAGTCAATAGGCTAGTTCATAGATTAGTCCATAGGCTAGTACATAGACTAGTCAATAGGCTAGCCCATTGACTAGTCAATAGGATAGTCCATAAACTATTCAATAGGATAGTCCATAGACTAGTCAATAGGATAGTCCATAGACTAGCCAGTAGGACAGTTCATAGACTAGTCAATAGGCTAGTCCATAGACTAGTCATTAGGCTAGTCCATAGACTAGTCATTAGGCTAACCAATAGATAGTCCATAGTCTAGGCAATAGGATAGTCCATAGACTAGGCAATAGGATAGTCCATAGACTAGTCAATAGGATAGTCTATAGACTAGTCAACAGGAAAGTCTATAGACTAGTCAATAGGATAGTCTATAGACTAGTCAATAGGATAGTCTATAGACTAGTCAATAGGACAGTCCAGAGACTAGTAAGTAGGATAGTCCATAGACTATTCAATACGATAGTAAATAGGATATTCAATATACTAGTCCATAGACTATCCAATAGGCTAGTACATAGAAAAGCTAAAAGGCCATTCTATGGACCAGCATATAGGATAGTCCATATACTAGTCAAAAGTCTAGTCTTAAGCGACTCAGCAAATTATACATAGCATGTTGTAAGACCATTAATTTTATGGGTTATAAACATCAGGTGTAGGTTATAAAAAGTTCGAAATTCCAATTTGTTTCTTACTTAAATGAAGGAGCATAAATGGCCACACTTAAATACACTATAGAAACGCAGGATAAAACCATGGTCAATTGGCAAAGGCAAATAGCACGGCAGATACGTTTATCTTGCTCGGGGATAAGGCGTGGTTTATCCTTGCGGCGACCCATTATTTATGATTAAAGCTGTTTGTCGTTGCTTGGTTTGGTGTTCTGTTATCAAAACTTTAAGAATCCCTGTGTGTATTAGAGAGGGAGTGTTAGTGGGAAGGGTAGATTGTTGTGTATTAGAGTTTGAGTGTTTTTTTTTTTTTTTTTTGAGGGGGAAACAGCAGCAGTGAATGTTTCCACGCTACCGAGTATTAAGTTATGTTGGTGTTTAAAATTCTTGTATATTTCTTGTTTTTTTATATTATTGTATTTTTGTTTTTTTTTTTTTTTTTTATTAATTTCTTGTTATGGTCGTTGTTTTTGTTGCTGCCTTAAATTCCTGTTATTTTCCTAATATTGTTTTAAGGACGTTTTTTTAGGTTTTTTGTGTTCTTTTTTTTTGGTAAAATAGTCGATGAGTAATAGAATTTATTTCAGTTTTTTTAAATTCCCTAAAATATTTATGACTTGTTGAGTTTTACTTTATTAGTTTATATTAATTTTTAACACTTTTTTCTTTATGTTTTAATAAAAAGTTTATAATAATTATTTTAATTTTACTGTGGTTTTTCTATTGTTTCCCATATTTATTATTAATTTTTTCGCTTAAAAACAATTTAAATTAAATTCGTTTTATTTTTTAATATTTTATACACATTTTATTAAACATTTAGTTACTTTATAGTTGTAAACATTATTTGCTGTTGTTGTTTAATTTTAAGGCAATTTGTTTAATAATTTGTTTATTTGTTTTTATTCTTAAAGTTTACAAATAATTTTATTTAAAATTGTTTATATTTCTTTAAATGCGTTGTGTTTTTTTTATGATTTTTTCCATGAGAATAATTATTAAACTCAACAAAAAGAAATATATATGTATGTATGTAAGTATGTGCGTGTGTGTAAGGATGCTCGGTTAGCGTCCACTTTCGGATTATACTACTGCTTTAAGAGCGTTGTTCTGGCAAACTGATTACTTTCAAAATGTTATTCCCGTTTTCTTTTAAAGCAAATAAAGGACATTTTTGATGTTAAGCAAGCTTTTAAAAGCTTTAATAAAAAGCTTTTTCGTGTTGCCTTCCAATGTCATTTGTTTTGTCTACAAAATGACGTTATCCTTTGTTAAGGACTTCTGTCAATGTTTTTTTTGTTTTGCTTTGAGTTGAGAAAAGCGCATGTGCTTTTTTTAAACTTATTTTGACAACTTCCTCTGTAAGTTTGTTATTTACTTATCAGAAATAAGTTTTAAAGAAAAAAGTAATAAATTGGAAGGAATTGTATGAAGCGGCGGCATGCGTTGTATCCTTTTTGGAGGTCGACGCCATGTGTGTCGTTGAACAACTCGTTTATATGTTTGTAGGTCAGAGTACACAAATGTTGACAAAACAAAGTTGTAGTTCTAATTTTCTTGTTGTTTTTTCCTTTGTTTCCTTTTGGCGGTACCAAGTTATTTATGGGAAATAGGAGGGAATGTTTTGAAAGTCGTTTATTAAGAGTCTAGCCTTCTATTAAGGCGAATTTCAGCTTTTAGTTTCTGACCCTTTTTAATGGACAGACAGACAATTTGGTCCAAAAATTTAATTTTTCACGAAAAATTTTTTTTTTACCAAAATAAAATACCACCAATATTTTACTTAAAAGCCAACTTAATCGATTCTTCTCTATAAATTTTATTTTTCATAAAAATCCAAATTTACACTTACAATTCGATTTTATTTACTTTAACTACATACATACATGTGCTTTTTAAAAAAAAAAAAAATATAATTTAAAATATTAAGACTTTAATTATGTTATTTACAACGCAAAATAAAATTAAATTAGCAAAACATAAATACACAACACGACCCAACAGGTCAAATAAACTCAGCTGTCAAGCAATTGCTAGATAAGGAATATGGCAGTGCTGCCAAGTATACAATCTACATTAGGCCGGTTCAATTTGAATAATTAATGCAATCATAGCAACCATCTGTCTCAGACTTAAAATTTTCTACAAACGAAGACCACATTATAGATCAATCTATAGTCTTGACTACAGATCAATCTATAGCCTTGACTATATATAAATCTCTAGTCTTGCATATAATTCAATAATATAGACTTGACTATAGATCAGTTTATTGTCCTTACTATAGATCAGTCTATATATAGTCTTGTCCATAGATCAGTCTATAATCTTGAATAAAAATCTATAGATCAGTCTGTAGTCTTGACTTTAAATCAGTCTATAGTCTTGACTATAGATCACTCTATAGTTTTGACTATAGATCAGTCTATAGTATTTACTATCAGTCTATAGTCTTGACTATAGACCAGTCTTTACTCTTGACTATATATCAGTCTATATTCTTGACTATAGATCAGTCTATATATAGTCTTGTCCATAGATCAGTCTATAGTCTTGAATATAGATCAGTGTATAATCTTGACTATAGATCAGTCTGTAGTCTTGACTTTAAATGAGTCTATAGTTTTGACTATAGTGTTTACTATAGATTATCCTATAGTCTTGACTATAGATCAGTCTATAGACATGACTATAGATCAGTCTATAGTCTTGACTATAGATCAGTTTATAGTCTTGACTTTAGATCAGTCTAGTCTTGACTATAGATCAGTCTATATATAGTCTTGTCCATAGATCAGTCTATAGTCTTGACTATAGATCAGTCTATATTATTTACTATATATAAATCTTTAATCTTGACTATAGATCAATCGATTGACTTGACTATAAATCAGTATATAGTCTCAACTATAGATCTCTCTATAGTACTGACTACCAGTATGTAGTCTGAACTACAGATCAGTCTACAGTTTTGACTATAGAGCAATCTATAGTATTTACTATAGATCATTCTATAGTCTTGACTATAGGTCAGTAGATTTTTACTATAGATCAGTCTATAGCCTTTACAATTAAATAGTCTATAGTCTTGACTATAGATCTATCTACAGTCTTGACTGTAGATCAGTCTATATTCTTGACTTTAGATTATTCTATAGGGTTGGCTATAGATCAGTCTATAGTCTTGACTATAAGTCAGTCTATAGTCATGTCCATAGATAAGTCTATAGTCTTGCCTATAGATCAGTCTATAATCTTGACTATAGGTCAGTATATAGTCTTGAGTATAGATTAATCTATAGTCTTGACTATAGATCAGTCTATAGTCTTGACTATAGATCAGTCCATAGTCTTGACTATAGATCAGTCTATAATCTTGACTATAGATCAGTCTATAATCTTGACTATAGATCAGTCTATAGTCTTGACTATAGATCAGTCTATAGTCTTGACTATAGATCAGTCTATAGTCTTGACTATAGATAAGTCTATAGTCTTGACTATAGATCAGTCTATAGTCTTGACTATAGATCAGTCTATAGTCTTGACTATAGATCAGTCTATAGTCTTGACTATAGATCAGTCTATAGTCTTGACTATAGATCAGTCTATAGTCTTGACTATACATCAGTCTATAGTCTTGACTATAGATCAGTCTATAGTCTTGACTATAGATCAGTCTATAGTCTTGACTATAGATCAGTCTATAGTCTTGACTATAGATCAGTCTATAGTCTTGACTATAGATCAGTCTTGACTATAGATCAGTCTTGACTATAGATCAGTCTATAGTCTTGACTATACATCAGTCTATAGTCCTGACTATAGATCAGTCTATAGTCTTGACTATAGATCAGTCTATAGTCTTGACTTAGATCAGTCTATAGTCTTGACTATAGATCAGTCTATAGTCTTGACTATAGATCAGTCTATAGTCTTGACTATAGATCAGTCTATAGTCTTGACTATAGATCAGTTTATAGTCATGAGTATAGATCGGTCTAATGTCTTGACTATATATCGGTCTATAGTAACAACAAATACACCGCATTTGTTTCCCTCTCTCTCCCCCCCGAAATAAAACTTCACTGAACAATTTTCAATTTGTTTTATTTTAATAATTTCCAGTTTTTGTTTTCTTTTATTAAAAACATGAAACATTTGTTGTTATTCTTTTTGTTGCTGTTTTATTGATTGTTTAAATATTCAAAAAAAGAGATTTTGTTGTTGTTTCTTTCGTTTGTTTTTTTATTGGTTGTTTTAGCAGAAAAAAGTTTTATTTTTGTGTTTGATTTTCTTTGATTTTGGAAAAAGATTTCAATGAATATTTTTTGTTATTTTTAATTAAAAAAAGCAAAGTGCAAATATAAATTTTTAATTAATGTAGAAATTTGTTTTAATAACTTTGATGTAATAAATGAGTTTTTTTTTTAAATAAAAATTTATTCTGTTTTAATTATTTTTTTTTTTGTCTAGAGAAGCTTTAAAGAAATTTGGAATTTTTTTATTATGGTAGTTTAAAATGAAATTTTTAAAAAATTTCGGGTAAAATTGTGTTATTTTTAGATTTTTTCCAATTTGTTTAATAATGATTGGGATTTTTTTTTGTTATAAAAATTTTATTTAAGCACAAGGCGGATTTTATATAATTTTGTTTTGAATTGTATTAAAATTTTGTTGCTTTTCTTAATTTTCTTTTTTTTTTTCTTGGTTTTAATTATTTAAAAACTAATTATTTTTCTTTATAATTAACTAATGTTTTGTGTGTTTTTTATTTCTTACATTTTTTTTGTTTGTATATTACAAATTTTGTGTTTGTTAATTTAATTAATTATTTTAATTGTTTATTTTATAATATAATTTAATTTGTTCTAATTATTAATACAATATTAATTGTTGTTATTGTTGTTGTTGGTTTTAAAATGCTTTTAATAGTTACTACAACTTAAATTGTTTATTAGTTGGTAGTTGGTTTTTAAGAATAATTTTCATAATTTGAGTTTTTTTTTTAATATTTTTTGCTAAATTGTAGAAGCCATTTTTAACATTTATTTTAATTTTAGTAGAATTTTTATAAAATTATTACACAACTAAAATAATGATATCACAATTTTATTTATTTGTTTTTTTTTTTTTTTAATTTTGCTTTTAAATTATGTAATTATATACGATTTTATAATTAGACAACTCGTAATAAAACAACGCTACTTAGAAATCACTAGTTCAGGGATTATGAAAAACTAAAATATTTAACAAATACAAATTTCTTTTCAGTAAGAGTTTAGTTTCAAACTAAGGTTGTATAATGGCTAATAAAGATGATCAGATTTTTGTTTTCTGAGAACTAACTATGGCAACCGAATCAACATCGAATCAGTCCTGACTATAATTCTATAGTCTGGACTAAGGATCACTGTAACTGATTTTAATGAACTGTTTATAATCTTGACTTTAGGACAGTCGACAGCCTTGACTACTGCTGAGGCTGTAGTTTTATATTCATCCTATAGTATCGACTTTAGATCAGTCTATATTCTTGGCTGTAGTTTAGTCTATGGTCTTTACTAAAGATCATTCTAGAGTTTTGCCTATTATCTTGTAGTCTTAACTATATTGATCAGACAAGTTCTTATAAAATTCATCCTGTAGTCTTGCATATTGATCACTCATATTTTGATTAGTCTTGACTACCGATCAGTCTAGAATCTCTTAGAAATTGTAAAGTCTGGACTATAGATTAGCTGTAGTCTTGCCATTTTTCTGTTAGCAGTCTACTATAGACTATAACAGACTTTTACTATAGATCAGTCTATTGTCTTGCCTGTAGACCAGTCTATAATCTTGACTATGGATCACTCTACAGTCTTGACAATAGATCAGTCTATAGTCATGATTATAGATCAGTTTATATTCTTGACTAAAGATCAGTCTATAGATCAGTCGGTAATCTGGGCTATTCATCTGTATATACTATAAGATCAGTGTACAGTTTTGACTACAGATCAGCATATTGTCTTGGCTATTGATCAGTCTACAGTCTTGACTATAGATCAGTCTATAGTCTTGAATATAAATATACATAGTCTTAAGTATAGATAAGTCCATAGTTTCAACTAAAGCTCAATCTATAGTCCTGACTATATATCAGTTTATAATATTGACTAAAGATCAGTCTATAGTCTAGACTTAAGATTAGTCTATAGTCTTGACTAAAGATCAGTCTATAGTCTTGACTATAGATCAGTCGGTACTCTTGACTATTCATCAGTCTATACTATAAGAACAGTTTACAATTTTGACTACAGATCAGCATATAGTCTTGACTAGAGATCATTCTTTTGTCGAAATTGGACACCAACCCTTGACTATAAATATGTCCATAGTCTCAACTTTAGATAAGTCCATAGTTTTAACTAAAGCTCAGTTATAGTCTTGACTATAAATCACTCTATATGCTTCACTATAGATCAGTCTATTATAGTCTTGACTATATATCAACCCATAGTATTGACCTTAGATTGGCTTCAGTATATATCAGTTTTGACTTCAGATCACTCTAAATGTCTCAGTATATATTAGTTTAAAGTCTTGGCTATAGATCAGTCTGTAGTTTGTAGTCTGACAATATTTCGGTCTATTGTCTTTTCAGTAGATCAGTATGCACGCTTGATTATAGATCAGTCTAGAGTCTTGACTATAGAATAGTATATAGTATTGTCTATAGATCACTCTATAGACTTGACTTAAGATCAGTAAATAGTCTTGACTATAGTTATTACTATGGATCAGTCGAAAGCCTTGACTATAGATTAGACTATAGCCCTGACAATAGATCAGTCTATAGCCCTGACTATAGATCATTATTAAGTATTGATCAGCTTATTGGTTTGAATTTAAAATTTCTCGATTACCATAGTGTTTTAAAAATGACTGCCATGTTTATACTAAGCTAGAATCATTTTAAAAATTTAACTAAAAACTATTTTAAATTAATAATTTTTTACAAATCCTAAAAACTTAAATCCATTACTTCTAAAACTAAAAATTACAAATACATAATTTACAAAATGATAAAAGAATATAATTTACAAAATTTATCCTTTAAAAATATTACAATAAATTTAATAAAACCATAAAATGAAAATAAATTTATTAAACTATTTTCGTTGAAGATTACAATCAAATCACTAAAATCTATTTCAAAATTTAAAGAAAACAAAAGTTTGCTTTAAAATTTTGCAATAAATTTTAATTGAATTTTATTAAAATTTGAAATTTTATACAAAAATTGTGAAAGAAAAAATATTGAGTGTTTATGTGTATATGATTTTGAATTTAAATAAAACTTAAATTTGGGTGTTTCTTTTTCTGTTAAGTGCTTTTTTTTCTTTTCAAAATATAATTTTTTGCTTTATAAAAATATATTTATTTTTTTAAATCTAGTATTCCATTTCATCCTCATCATCACTGTGACACAGTAGTTTTCTACGAAAAAAAATTTATTGAAGGGTGAGAAAAATAAAAGAACAAAAATTAAAACGAATTGTTTTTTGGTGAATTTTTTAAAAATTCTATTTAAAACTAAAACCACTTAAATTGAAAAAACAACACTTTATTTAAATTTTAAAAAATTTATATGCCAAATGCATTTTCCATATTAAGTGTCTTAGTTTTAAAATTCTAAAAATTGTTATGAATTTGAATAAAATAAAGCTTTTTATTTTAAGAAAAGTTTATTATTTGTTGTCAAAAGTATATTTTAAAGAAAATTACTAGTATAATTATGAAAATTATCATTCAATTAATTACGTTTACATTTATAAAACATGCATTTCATTTTCGAAACTAATATCCAAAACTATCTTTGTTAACTACTGTAATATGAGTATTTGTATGTAGTATGTTTGATAATGTGTTTGCAAATGATTTGTCAAGAAAAACACATGCCATTTTCTATAAGGTATGGGATTTTGAAGGGGGGATTTGGTTTAGCATTTCTAAAGTTCTTGAAAAGTGAGTGTTAATTGAGGAAAATAATATAACCTATATTTCAATCTATAATTTGACTATAGATCAGTCTGTTGACTTTACAATAGACGCATCTATGGTCTGGATTATATGTCAGTTGATAATCTGGAATATAGATCAGTCTATAGACTACAAATCACTCTACAGACTTTATTATCCATCAGTTATAAAACAGTCTACATTCTTGTCTACAGCCTTGTAGTTTATAGTCCTGATTAAAGTTCAATCTGCTGTCCTTGCTATAGATCAGTCCATGATTATTGATCAGCATATGGTCTCCACTACAGATCGGTCTACAGTCATGAATATAGATCTATCTATAGTAATGCCTATAGATCAGTCTAAACTCATGACTATACATCTGTCAACAGTCTATACACTTGACTGCAGATCATTCTATAGTCTTAACTATAGATCAACAAATGGTCTCCACTACAGATCGGTCTATAGTCGACTATAGATCAGTCTATACTCTTAACTGCAGATCATTCTATAGTATCAACTATAGATCAACAAGTCTATAGTCTTGATTATCGACTATGGATCTGACTATAGTCTTGACTATAGATCAGTCTATAGTCTTGACTACAGATCAGCCTATAGTCTTGACTATAGATCAGTCTATAGTCTTGACTATATATTAGTCCATATTCTTGACTATAGATCAGTCCGTATTATTGAGTATAGATCTGTCTATAGTCTTGACTATAAATCAGTCTATAGTCTTGACTAAAGATCAGTCTATAGTTTTGACTATAGATCAGTCCATAGTCTTCGCTATAGATCAGTATATAGTCTTGACTATATATCAGTCTATAGTGTTGATTTTTAGATTAGTATATAGTCTTGATTATAGATCAGACTGTAGTCTTGACTACTTATCAGTCTATAGTCTTGATTATAGATAAAGTGTATAGTCTTGACTTTAGATCAGTCTATAGCACAGTCTATAGTCTTGACTTTAGATATCAGTCTATAGTCTTGAGAATAGATCAATCTATAGTCTTGACTATATATTAGTCTACAGTTTTGAGTATAGATCATTCTATAGTCTTGAGTATAATCTTAACTATAGATCAGCCCATAGTCTGCACTATAAGTCGGCCCATAGTCTTGACTATAGATCGGCATATAGTCTTAAGTATAGATCTGTCTATAGAATTGATTAAAGTTCAGTCTATAGTCTAAACAATAGATATTTCTATAATTTTGACTATAGATCAGTCTATAGTCTTGACTATAGATCAGTATATAGTCTGACTATAGATCAGTCTATAGTCGTGACTTTAGATCAGTATATAGTCTAGATTATAGACCAGTTTATAGTCTTGACTATATATCAGTATATTGTCTTGATCAGTATATAGTCTTGACTATAGCTCAGTCTATAGTATTGATTATACATCAGTCTCTATAGATCAGTCTATAGTCCTGACTATAGATCAGTCTATAGTCTTGACTATAGATCAGTCTATAGTCCTGACTATAGATCAGTCTATAGTCTTGACTATAGATCAGTCCATAGTTTTGATATAGATCAGTCTATAGTCTTGATTATAGATCAGTCTATAGTCTTGATTATAGATCAGTCTATAGTCTTGACTATAGATCAGTCTACAGTCTTGACTAGAAATCAGTCTATATTATCAGATCAATTTATACCCTTTACTGTAGATTAGTCTATAGTCTTAACTATAGATCAGTATATGGTCTCCACTACAGATCAGTCTACAGTCTTGACTATAGATCAATTTATACTCTTGACTATAGATCAGTCTATAGTCTTCACATTTCAAGATCAATTTAGTTCCTTCAACTTTCTACAAAAGTATGCAATAAGTAACGTACTAACTACCAACTACATTTTTTTTTAGTATAAAAACACATTTCTAAGACTATTTAATCGATTTGTGTAAAACTCAATAATTTCTAAGTGTAAAATTACAGCTATTTTGAAGTGTGTTTAAGGAGAAACTAGCATTAATTAATAGGGGAGGAAAAAAGGGAGTGTTTGAACACTAACTACAAAATAGTTTTGTGCCTCGGGTTTCATTTCTAAAATAAAATTTTTATATAAAAAGTATATAGGTGTAACTCTTCCTAACAGAGTTGGATTTTCTCTTAGTGCTTTTTAGTTTTAAATAATTTTGAAAGTTTAAAACGATTATTCGAAAGCTACATTTGTTTTATTAAATAATTTATAAAGTAAGTGTAAATATATAGATATTTGTTTATAGTATTATAAGAGAGGAAAAAAAGGAATTTTTACTTGTTAACATGTTTCAGTATTTTCAGTTTTGTTTTTCTTGGTTTTTTATTCTTTAAATTCAAACGGTTTTCAGGCACTTTTCAGGCATTTTAAGTTTTCTCTAGTTATTTGTGTGTGTGTGTAGATTTTAACTTGTAATTTAAGTTTTTTGTTACTTAAACATTCTTAAAGAATTCATAACTATTCAGGGAAATAGATTTTTCCGGATTACATTTCATGCAGTTTGCAATCCTGTAAAAAAGTATGTAGGTTGTTTTTTATATATATGAATAAAAAAAAGTTATTAGGAAATATAGTAGATATTTTATTTTTATTAAATATAAGAAATTTTCTTTAAATAAAAAAATAAATAGGAAAAAGTATTTATCTCAAAAAGAAACACTTTTAACTAAATTTTACTAATTATAAAAAAAGCTTTTAGCAATCATTTTTTTATTACAAAGCCAATGCTTTAAAATTATAACAAATTTTCTTAAAACCAATTAAATCTAATAAAACTTAAACAAAAACATGCATTTAAAATTTACAGCATTTTTGAACTTAAAATATAGACCAATTTTTATAAATATTAAATAAAAGAAAAAGCTATTTTACTACAACTCTCACTAACAAACTTAAAAGCATGGCTCGCAGCTTTTTTAAAATTTTTTCCAACAACTCCACCAATTACAAATTTCATCAAGCATGCTTTTCAATAACATTGTTTGTTAATTTAACAATTTATTTAATTAAAATACAAACATTCAAAACATCAAACAAAATCAAAAACATATATCTCTTGAACTATAACTCTTGAAAAAAATAGAGATTTCATAATAAAGTAAACAAAATAAAACTACATTTATCTTTGTTAATATAAATTTAAACATTGAACAATAAAACTGTGTGTTTATGTAAACGAGTATAGGAGTTATAATAATAGTAGTAGTAGTAGTAGTAGATCATTAAAATAGTATGTAGTAGTTTTCTAATAATTATTTTAGCACACTCACTCTTCCTTAGTGGGGAATTTTTCAGCATAAACCCTTGATGATTTATTACAGGCATTATCACAACACGGACAATACCAATAGCTTAAGACCCCAATCGATATGGCAAATAATACTGTGGGTATTATCAGCGATAATATTAGATGATAAAGATTATTCTCCCACGAATAACGACCAATAACCACCTCGGGATAGGCACGACTATAGTAGCAAGCGAATGGTTCATTGATGTGATTATACCTAGTGTTAAAAATAAAATTGTTAGTATCGAAATAGTTTCGAAAAAGTTATTTAGATATTGGTTAG